AACGAGTGAAGAGTTAATAATAATAGCAATGAATTTAAAAAAATTATTCACTATATCAAAATTTTCACTATATCGAGAGTTCACTATAACAAAAGTTAATTTTTTATTTTAAATATAACTAATTAATAAATTTTTAAATTATAAAGAAAGTTAACTCTACAAGTGGGCTTTCAACAATATCAGCACCAATAGTCGATACTGTATTACTCTCTAAAACATATTCAATATCAACACCAATAATCAATTCTACATTACTCTCTGAAGCTTATCCAACATTAGAAATACATTTAGAACATTATGAGAAGAATTTTAATAGTTTAAATGAACAGCAAATACAAAAAAAGATTCTACCGCTTCAAGAAAAATATGTACATTCAAATACTTCAAATTCTCAAACTATTCAAGCAACACTTCCTCATTTTATTTAATGTAGAAATACTACAAGAATTCGTAATCTAAAATGTGATACACAAGAGGTATGAAAATATTAATGTTTAGATACATAAATTGTATCTTTTAACTAATAATAATTTTTTAATAAGAATGTAGAAAATATCAATTTAGTGAATTTGCCTCAAAAACGTAAGCATGTAAATGATACTCAAGAAACATTAGAGGCAATATTTCTTGAGCAAGGCATAACTTGGAAACCACGTGCATTTACTAATTTCTGCATTAGCAAGAATATTCATTTAGCTAATTATTCTGTAGTAAATGATAGGCTAATTTATAGTTGGATTAGTAGACGTAAATATAAAGCAAAGCAAGAAAAAAAAGAACAAGAAGAAGAATTAGATAAACAAATATAATACATCATTTATAGTTATATTATAGTTATAATAAAGAGCTGATATAAAGTTGCATTTTACTTATTCGCACATCTTTAATTAATGGTCTTTTGCTTACTCTAGTGCTATAAAATCAATTAAATTAAATTTATTCCTATATGGGCAGCCGTCAATAGAAATCAAGCAAATCAACATTTGAAAAAAAATTAATTCCTTAACTTTCACAGCTTAT